TCTAGGCGCTGCTCAGCAAGGAGCACCTGACTCACGGAAGATATACCTGGATATGTTTGAGTGAGGGCGCTAGTTGGGGGAGGTGGGGTTTCAGGGAATCCTCTGGGCGGAGCGACCTCTGTTATCCAGTTTGATGACATCATGGCTATGGCGGCGCTGTGTCCACTTACTGGGAGTGGGGAGGGCTCAACAGGGAGCAATGGATATCACCAGCACTTCTGTACAGAGCGAGTCTTGCTTGGCGATGTCTCTCTGTAAGTCCCTGATGCCCCCTGCACGCAGCCCAATCAGCACTGGTGCTCAGAGCAAGCAGGTCCATCACTGCGAAAATCCGCCCATGGACACGGCCACTTTAAGAGGCATCTGTAGCTGCCTGCTGCCGCAGCCTCCGTCTCACTCAGCCACTCAGGACCAGGCAGCCCCGCGTCCTCGCCCCGTCCTACCTTCTGCCTTTGCAGGGTGATTTCTTGGACTTCTCCCTACTTGTATGGCTTGTTCATCTAGATCCCAGGCAATTTTTTCTTACTGCTGCTCCTTGTTTCTGTCACAACTTTGATTTGGTTGCCAGAGGGATGATTTGGTTGCCATTTTTTAGCCCTTCTCCAGATATCTTTAAGTGAAATATTACAGATTAATGAAAGTAATATTTAAAACATCTATGTAACCACTAGCTTGAATGTAATTGAAGCTTTTGTGTATCCTTCTAATCTCATTTCCCTCCTACTACATCTCCTTCTACCTGCTCAGGGAACCTAAATTTGATGTTTATCTTTCCTATGCACAACTTTACACTTTTACTGCACATGGAAGTATCCATAAATAATGAGAACTATTTTGCATATTTTAAATTTTCATATAATTAGTATCATATTATGCATATCATTCTACAACCTACAATTTTCTTTGTTCAGTTTGACATTAGTAGAGAGGTAAGGGTAATGATGAAACCATGCTGCTGGATTATGTCCTCGAGCACAGGAGGGAGCTGCTTCAGACTAGGTATAGAGGGGACATTTCTAAGAAAGTGATGTTTAAATTAAAACTAAGTGAAAAGAAGCCAGCCAAGTGACTTTGTTGGGACAGGACTTCTTCTCAGATGACTTTGTTGACCTGCCAGATTTGGAACTCATTATTTTAATTTAAAAAGCTGCAATGTTATAAACTTCCAAGTAGGTCTATGTGGAATCCATACTGTATAGGAATTTCTTAGCTGTATAAGCTTACAGAATGTAGCCAAATAGAATATGTAGTATAAAGCTGGAGATCTCAAAGTGTAGTCTTCAGACCCCTGGTCCATGAGGTACTGTGTGAACATTTGCACTAATAGTGTAAGACCAATGGTGAATAAAACTGCTGGAGCAATGGTGAATAAAACTGCACTCAAATTTATTAGCACTCATCATATTCTTTACCATCATGCATTTGCAATAAATTAATAAATTCAACTTTCATATAAGTTGTCTTTGATGAAACAGTACAAATTATTGATTTTATTAAATCTCAACTTTTATCACAAGAAAAAAATTTGTAACTGTGGTGATGAATGTTAACTAGACTTTTACCATGGCTATAATTTCACAAAATATCACAATATACAGATATCGAATCATGCCGTATGCCTGAAATTAATATAATGTTATGGTCAATAACATCTCAATTAAAAATTATTACAACCCTCCATTCTTGAGTATTCATCTTTGAATATTCTGTGTTATGAAATGGAAGTATGCTATATGAAAGCACATCTACTGTAGGTACAGTTATTGTTTTGAAGAAAACAGTTACACGACTGTTTGAATTGCAAGCTGAACTAGCCCATTTTTTTCATGGAACTTTATTTTTACTTGATAGAACAATGGACAGAATAACTATGGTTATTTAGACTTGGAAATTTGGAAGGACATCTCAAAAATGAGTGATCTAAGCCTTTTACCTGAAGGAAACAACTGACAGTATTTGTTGCCAATGATAAAATTCAAACTTTATAGCAAAAATTAAAATTTTGGAAAATATATATTTGCCACAATGAGCTCGACAGGTTCTCAGTACAGAAAGACTTCTCTGATATTTGTAGTGAAGTTAATGAGCATAATTATTTGCTGTTTTAGAAATCAAATGGGTTAAGATTCAGAAGACCTGCATAATTCAGTGAAACAGTATTTTTCAGATGACCAAAGCTTGCTTTTACAAAACTAACAGTGTTAATGCTTTTAGAGGCATATTTTACTGTTGTCAGTAATGCTTTATAACAAGAACAAAATTAATATGTTGTATGCTTCAGAGCAATGTTAATCAAAGTGTATTTCTTTTTATATTAATAGGTGTAAGGTAAACAAGCACTCTAATTTTAGGAGATGTTGAAAGAAATTTAATATGTTTTTATTAAGTATTGAATCTTCTAAAAAGCATTTTAAATCTCCTAGAAGCAGTTAAAGAAGTAGCCTTCAAGACTACTTGAATTTAGAACCCTTTCTCCATTTTAGTATTCTTTGGGAAATACTACCATAGAGACATGGAACCTCAGGACCAAAGACTTTTGAAGGCTGTATAACCATTTTTAGGAAGTATATTAGGAAGTGCTTTTGGGGTCAGCATTTGTTGAAGTGAAGGGAACAGGATTAGGTAGAGGGAAAAGTTGGACTGCAATGCAGTCTCAATAAAGGCCTCATCAGCCTGTGGGAAGCTCAGGATCTAGGGTGGTTGTTCAGAATCGTTCCAAGTTGAGGTGAGAAGACTGGATATTATTAGCTCTTCATCATCAGTGATCGGATGTGGGACACCCCTGGAAGAGGGCATGACCTTAGGTGAAGCAGCTCTTGTTAACGAAGCCACCTCTCAAAGAAAGTTAAGATCTGAGGGCTCTCTACGGGCTGTAGGAATAAAGCTTTCATTTCTGAAAGGGGTTGGGGCAGTGTGTCACAGGATCTACTCAGAGATATATCCGTGAGATACTGTTTTTGGCACCTAACAACAGAGATGTGATGATTCTTAACATTTAAGGATTTATTTTTCTCACATATTGAGAAGCTTGAAGGTAAGCAGTTGCTGATGTTTGTCTCTTTTATTAGTCTTTTTCAATGCTCTCAAAGTGGCTACTAGACCTCCAGCCAACATATCTGAAATCCAGACAGCAAAGATTCCAAGAAGTTCCACCCCATTATTTCCACTTGTATATTTCTTTTCATAATAGAGGCTGTGAAGTGACATTTTTCAGCAGGCATATAGCCTAGAGTTCTGTCACAAAGGAAGAATGGATATTGGGATTGGCAGTTAGTATTCTTGGCTAAAGAAAATCAGCATTGATCTAGACAGGCAGGAAGGAAAAACATTGAAAAATCATCAGAATCTGTTGAAATGGACTGGGGTGGATGATGGATTTGGAGGGAGGGTAGGGAAATGAGTGTGGTGAGAAGCAGCTCGATTTTAGGAAACCAGTCAGTTAGGTAAGAGTTAAAGAATTTTGACATCAGCAATTGGAAGAAGTGGATAGGAAAGTCACCAGGAATTTACAAGGTGACCTTTAAAGTCTCAGTAAGATTTTTTGGATAAACCACACCTTATCTCTGTGCAGCAACCAGTTAGTTATCCCCCCAAACTAGAAGCTAATAAACTCCAAAGTCATGCTAGTCTGAAGGCTCTACCTTTGATCTTAATGAAATTTCAAGGCCACAAAATCTAATTTAAAATTTCACAGCTATTTATTTTAATCTCCTGAAATATAAAGGCATAGAAAAAGTTCTTGGAAGTAACAGAACAAAGTACTCTCACGTAGTACAAAAGATTTGCTCACTTCCTAAACATCTCCTTTGAGATCTCTTTCCCACAACCATAATACTGACCAGTTGGAACAGAGACATTCCCCATTTAATGCCAGGATCCTTCAGTGAGAGGATGGCCCTTTCTGCTGGTTCTTTTCTAGGATCATCATAGCAAAGGGGCACATGGATACATAGTGTATAGGATTCAAAGCTTGGATTACCGATTCAGTCTACTTGGTTGGAAAGCTCAGCTCTTCTATTTATTCCCTATGTGATCTTGAGCAAGATTACTTAAGCCAGTGGTTCACAAATAGAGGTGATTTTGTCCCCCTAAGGGACATTTGGCAATATCTAGAGACATGTTTGGTTGTTATAGCTGGGTTAGGGGATACTACAGACATCTGGTGAATGTTTTTGGAATAGTTAGATGAGATAATCCATGTAAAATGCCTAACGCAAGTGCCTGGCACATAAGTGATCTGTTAATGTACATTACTATTGTCATCACTAGTACTAGTCTGGATTTTAGACTGAATTAGAAAGAACATGCCATATACTACCTATATTCATGCAGCCAATGAAGTCTGTTTGCCTTTTTCTTTCATTTGATGAAAAATTATAAAGAAAGTAGAAAAATGGGGACTGGAACAGAAGAAGCCCTTCTTGCTTATAGAATCAAAGAAGATAATGAATTAATAACTAGTATACTTTATTCTGAGTTCTAAGAAAATGATGTACAGTCCTATTTATGTAAGCATCTTTCCTCTTCATATTGTTCTTTTTTTTCTCTTCTTTTTGTACCATATTGCAAATTACACCTCCTTTCCTCTCCTCATCTTTCAGAGTTTCAACTCTTTCAGTCTCTTCTGGCTGTCAAGAACTTGGGAGCTATTAAAGCAATAGAAAGCATTGGTCAGGATAAAGCATTGGTATATTTGAAAATAAGTCATGCCATCACTACAGATTATTCATATAGTAACTAAATGAGCTGCTGAAATTTTTGCTAACTTTTTGAACCTACAACTTTCATTTAGTAATTATGCTAAGAAATAGTAAACTGTAAACCTTTAAACTTCACTTAGAAACCATAAATTCCTTTATGTTGCAGTGATATTAATAGTTATCTTCTATTTTTCAAGGCAAATGCAATAGGTCGAAGCGCTAAAACTGTCCGAGAATTTCTAGAAAAGAATTACACAGAAGATGCTATAGCAAATGACAGTGAAGCTATCAAATTAGCAATAAGAGCTTTGCTTGAAGTAAGTGATCTAATAAAGCATATTCTGAAAAGCATGGTGTTTTTTTTTTTTTCCTCAGTTGCTTATTAAGACACAAAATTTCCTGAAGTAATTTTAGTATTGCACTTGTTCTCATTAGGTTGTCCAGTCTGGTGGAAAAAACATTGAACTTGCTATAATAAGAAGAAACCAACCTTTGAAGGTAAGTCATCAACCAAATAGGAAAAAATAATGTGTAGCATAAAGTATTTTGACAAAAGTTAAAATGTTGTCACCTTTGAATCTTCATTATAAGCTGTAAACATCCCTTAGCAACTGTAACAACTTCTGTTTTATTTTGTTTCTGTAGGCTAATAGTCACTAATTTGTATGTGCTTGAGGCAAGTAGTTACTTATACCTAGCCCTTCGTGAAGACCTAGAGGTGCTGAGATCTGTATTCAGACCTACCCCATGTAGTATGTGTTCTTAGAAGTAGGAACCACTACTGAGTCAGTCCTTCATGGGTTCAGTATAGTCAATTCCCTATGGAGATTCATTCCTGGCTCCGCAAAGAAAGCAGTTACACTTATAGTATTTTTTAGATCTTCTGAAATCTAGATGATGCCATTCAACTGCCATTTATATAATTGTGGGCCCTCCAGGCTTCTAACATGTTATCCTTCATTATGTCAAAAAACCTCCACCCATTCTTGACTGCCTAGTGGTTTTTATCTGTTTTCTCAACTTTTCACTTAAAAGTGCCTTGAGCCCATGCTAAGACTTAAATTTTAATACCAAGTGTGATAACCTTACCATATTTCTTTGTGGTAAATCTAACCCTATTATTTTTATACCTTTTGTCAGCCATTATGGGTTAAAACTGCTGGACAACAAAATAGATTGTTTAGAACAATGTGATAAATTGTTTTGAATATTATGATAGAGGACTCATTGGCTAAAGAACATTTGAAAGGCGATCGTTCATTAGGTAGACCTTTACAGTGTAGTTTGCCAACTAGCTCTCTTCAGCTGAATGTACAAAAGCACTCAAAGCATGGGAAACTACATAAAAAGTATGCTAGGAAGGATTATTTTACATATACCTTTTCTTTTGTTTTAAGAAAAGTATTTCAAGGAAAAGTAGTGCTGAAATCAGTGCTGTGTGGAACAGTGGGGTTTTTGTTTTTTGTTTTGGAGGGGGTTTGTTACTATCGTCATTTTGATACCACATTCCCATATTTTATTATTAACCAATGGATGCAGACATGAGCATAGGACATCAGCAGAGTTTCAGTGAATACGAGAAATAGGGACAGGGTAGTGGGTCTTCCCATATATTACCTCACATAAATAACCAGGATGCTGAGCACAGAGTGTGGAGATTGGAACTGGGCTGGGTTGTCACCCCTGCTGCCAAGGGCCCAGGGACAGATGTATCAATACCACAGGGACACAGAACCACTGAGGACAGAATCGGCTCTCCAGCCCCATCTCTCTCTCTCTCTCTCTCTCTCTCTCTCACACACACACACACACACACACACACACACACACACACACACCCAGCTGGACAACTGTTTTTCCTTATGATTGGTAGGATGGTATGTTTCCAGGCAGCAAAGTTATCCCATCCTTTTACATATTTCAGAATAGGCTGTGTGGTGAATAAAACACATGCTTTGGAATTGGATAGACCTGGATTTAAGTTCTGGCAGATCCATTTGTTTAACAGTATGATCTTGAATAATTTGCTCCCATTTTTGAGTCAAAATAAAATTGATTTAAATAAAATAACTCCTTTTGCTTTGTACTTAGTGAGGAGTTATAAAGAAAGCAGTATAAATCATCTTTTCCCAAACTTCTTTGGCTAGTCTGTGAGCTGATAAAATAGTCAAACCCTATCTGAAGATCACACAGTGGGGTTAAGATAGGAGGAGTTCAGAAATGAGTTACTTGCTCATGAACTGAATGACTGGCATTAAAATGTTTTCAGTTATATCCTTATGTAGGATATGTAATGTAACATCACATTTTGCCCTGCTTTCTTTTTTAGCACAATGATGGTAGAAATGGTATGGAGTTCTGTTTTTGTCCATAATAGTTTAACTATGTTGCTTTTGAATCTTTTGAAACATTTTATTATATATTTGAAGTTATAAAATATAAAGTTATAAATAGAAAATAGGAATTTATAAGATATAATAGTTCTTTAATATTGTAAATATTTAGAAAGTATTGGTATAATTGCAACTTGTTTTTTAAAATTTTTTCTTTTCAGATGTTTAGTGCCAAAGAAATTGAATTACAAGTAAGTGCAATAGAAAAAGAAAAGGAAGAAGCAGAGAAGAAAAAATCAAAGAAGACTGCCTAATTCTTAGTATGAAAACTGGGAGCTTTTAATGTTTTGTTGTACTCCTTAGAATTAAAGGAAATAAGTTGATTTGTAGCATTACTTTTATTAGTTATGTGCTGTTTTGAGAATGCCAGATTTATAGTTGTCTTCAATCTATTGCATGGACAAACATACATTAATATGAATATTTTTTAAAAAGATTTCAGTTATTGTTAAAAGCATTCATAATTCCACATAAACCTGAGACAATACTCTATAACTTGTTGCCCAGTATGTTACTTTTCTTCATATATGAAAATTTAATTAAGAAAAAACTTTAATTTTTTTTCCAAATGTTTATTTCCCCAGCTTAATTAAATTTTAAAAAATTTGGTGACATTTGAGTATTGACTGTCAGGTAGAGAGATACCGATTTGAAAATAAACAATATAATACTGAGTTGCATTTCTAAATGAATGATGAAAACATCCTTGTGTTAATTGTCAAAATTTTGTCAGTTCTCTTCATTTTTAAATATTATATTAGATTTATTTTACCTTTTTCATTTTATAAATTGCAGTATATCATTTTGTTTATGGAACAATATTAAAGGCCTTATCCAAATAGGCAGTTAAAATAAACTGTGGTAACAGCTTATAAGGTCATCTGAGCAGGGTATTGTATGAAAATAAGAGAAATGAATACATGTAATTCTCAGTTTTTATTTTTATTTTATCTTAAGTAGGCACAGTGTCTTAGATTTGTTACATGTTCCATCAGATATCTGGAGTGCATTTTACAATATGCATTATACTAGGCTTTTGAGAGGAACAAAAACATTGAAATGATCCCTGCTCACAGAGAAGGTTTAATCCAAGTGGCCCACAGAAATAATGTGCTTAATGTTTGTGATAAAGTTATATTTTTGAAAGCAAAGGATACTGATAGGCATAAAAACAAAAGTCCACATACCTTATTATTTTACAGTTTTGTCCTTTTTTTAATGTCCTTTTTGAAAACGGAGGAGAGAGGTTGAATTTTTGCAGAGGAATGAAAAGGTCAAAGGAGATAGGAAAGAAAAGAATCAGTTTGGCAAAGCAGCAGCTATCATAAGTTCTAAGCCACTGGTGGTTGTAGTGCTGTGAAGCAAGGACAAAGGAAAGAGCAAAGTCAGAATTTTAAGAGGTATAAAGACCTTACAGGGCCATCTTACTGGTGTTCATCATGGACTAAATTCCTGTGGCCTTCTGGTGCTGCATTTAACTTCCTCTGACATAAAGACTGTAGGACATCTTCTGGGGAGGAATGGACACTCTGTATTCCACTCTGGATATGCCCTGACCTCCTTTCTAGTTTCATTGGAACCATGGAATTTCATGGCTCCCTGTTTTACAATCAAAGCCAAATACTTGATCCCTATCACCTCCTGACCCTATTTAGTTAGCCAGAAGCAAAGTACTTCCCAAGCAGAAGCCTTACTAAACAAAATTTTAGCACTTTAGGAAAAAAACCCACAACTTTTGATTATCAGGTCAGCTCCCACTGAAGATATCTGTCTTCATGCATGTGCATACAACACACAGGAGAAGTAGAATGTTCACATTATCCTACTGTACTGCCATGAACCCATGGTGAGTCTTCGATATTCTGAATATATGGCTTAGTATCTTGCATATACCTCTTTCTTGGCACTCATTATACTGTATTGAAATTATCTGATCTACTTTTTTGACAAATATTAAGTGCTTTAAGGGGCAGATACCGTTTGATGCTAGGGATATAGTAATAAAGAGTAAGCTCAGTCTTGGTTCTCATTACTCTGTTATGAGAAGGCAGATATTAAACCCAAATAATTATAATCACAATTGGGATTAGCTCTGAAGCTCTGTGTCTATCTTCCCTACGAAACTTGCTCCTCAGGAAGCCAGACTCAGACCCGTATCTCTTTCATTATTTCCACAGCTTGCCTCTTGTTAAGAACTTAATACATGCTTGTTGAGCTGTTAAGTTACAGATAGTTGCAAATATTAGATATTGAGATGAAGGAGGAAGACAAATCATCTACAGATGGTTCCCAACTTACTTATGATTGTCCAACTTATGATTTTCAACTTTGCAATGGTGTGATAATGATACACATTCAATAGAAACTGTACTTTAGAATTCTGAATTTTGATCTTTTCCCAGGCTAGTGATATATATAATAATACCGCCTCGTAATGCTGGGGAATGGCAGTGAGCTACAGCTCCCAATCAGGCATGCGATCATGAGAGTAAACCAATACTTTGCATCATTTTTATGGCTAGATGATTTTGCCCAAACTGTAGGCTAATGTAAATGTTCTGAACATGTTTAAAGTAGACTAGGCTAAGCTATGATGTTCAGTAGGGTAAGTGTATTAAAAGCACTTTTGACTTAGTGTTTTCAATTTATGATAGCTTATTGGGCCATACCCCATCCTTAAGTCAAGGAGCATCTGTAGTCTAATCTCTCATTTAGTGTAGAAGTCAATTTCCTAATCTCTTTGGCCCTTGTTAAACATTATAGTGATGGGAAGATACCATATAGTCAATGAATATGTATTTCATGCAGGGCCCCTGAGACTAGATTCAGACTCTGGTTAATAAAAATGGAGGACTTCAGAAAGAGAGGAATTTATTATTATGCAACATAGTTTGGTCTTGGAAAACCTGTAGGTGTAGTAATTTGAAGTGTCATTCCCTTACTACTACTCATCCCTGGTTGAACATTCTTTTTGCTAGGTACCAAAAATGAATAAGATACGGACTTGTCTTAAAAGAAGTTATACTACCAAATAGTTGAGCCCATTCTTACAAGTTATATGAATAATGAAAAGTATATTTCCTTTACATTCTGTGAATTTAATATGGAACATGTTGCTAATGGTTTCTGGAGTAACTTCTTTAAATCATCCCTAGTAAATGTAGCGTATGCACCAGATTTTGTAAAAAAAGAAATAAGACCCATTTTGTGTATCAATAAACAAAAGAAGGGGGTGATAGTTCCCTATCTCAGTTTTTACCTCTTATCTGAGAATAGAACATTCTATACCTCTGGATGGATTTGGCTATAAGTATATATAATGTTAAAGACTCTCTTCTGTACTATAGTTTAGTTGTATGGATCTCTTATCTAGGGGAAATAGTGATACATCATCCAAATGATATGGTTATAATTCCACTCCTTATTCTTATTTAACAAGTAGTCATATAGTGCTTACTACATGCCACTGTTTTGTGTTCTTTACAAACATTAATTCATTTAATCCTCTTAAGAATTGTCTTGAAACACATTATCTAATTTATGCCCATGGTGCTGATACAGTGCCTTGCCACCATCAAAATGGATACATTTTCCCCAAATCTCTCCCTCCCAAGGCTGTTTCATGAGATGCAGGAGCTTTTATATCTCACTGGCTTTATTCCTTCTGTAACAGATATGAGATTCTGACTATTTATTGCCTTGTTTTATTTTGGAAATCTAAGCATTATTATAGCCAAATTTCCTTGATCTAAACAAAGCAGTTTTCTATTTAATGTGAAGTTTTAACCAAAATGTAAACACTATTGCTATTTAAGATGTCATTTTTACTGATGTTACTGAAAGATAATTCCCCAATATGCAAACACTTTGGGCTTTTTCTCCCTCATATCCTCAAGGTGAGATAATCACAAACATTTGGTTTTATGAATCAGCTAAATGGCTTCTGTTTCCATCCCTGGGATATGGTTAACCAGGTAGTCTGAAAAACTTCTCACTGCAGACATAGAAATTCTGGATAAAATCTAACAAACATCCTTTTAAATGCATAACTGAATTCAAAAGAAGGGAAATCCCCAGAGGCCAAAAACAGAAAGGGATTCATAAAGCAGAGAAGACATTTGAGCAGATGCTGGCGCTGCTCTGGAGGAAACTTTATTGGCACAGGGAATAAGCAAACCAAGAAGGAGACAACAGAGAGCCTATAAACACATCCTCCTTTGCCAGGATACTTAGTCGGTGGTAGCATTGCATATCAGTAGTAAAGGATACAGTCTTTAATAAATGGTGATGAGACAACTGGTTATTTACTTGGAAATAACAGTGGACCTGTACTCCACGCCATTAAAAAATAAGTCCATTCCCAATGAATTAAAGATCTAAACATAAACAGTAAAACTTTTAAAAGACAATATAGGAAAATAACTTTAAGACCTTGGAGGTAAGGAGAGATTTTCTAAACAAGATACAAAAAATGGTAACATTAAGGAAAAAATTGATAATTCAACTATCTGAAAACATACATCAAAATATCTATATTTTAGTAAAGTCAGAGGCATATGCCCTTTAGCCTGCAGTTCCACTGTGAAGGCCATGGCTTAGAGAAACACTAACATATGTGCATAAAAATAATGTACCAAAGGCATTGTTTTTGATAGCAAAATAAATAATTTTCATCAGCAGAAAATGAATGAATAAATTGTGATTTATTCATACAGTAGCATACCATATAGCAGAGAAAAAGAAAGCATTTACAGCTCTGGGCATCAACCTGGATATGTATTGAGCAAAAACTAAAGCCAACTGTGAGAAAGTATACACAATGTTTATAGAAAACTTAAAGACCTACAAAGCTAAACATAGTATTTAAAAGATACAACGTTTGAGATAGAACAAGAAAAGCAAGGGAATGATTGCTGGAAAATTCAGGATAGTACATTTGTTAGGAGCTGTGCAGAGGAATGCACAAACAGTAATGCTTTTGTAAAGCTGAATGGTGAGCCTGGTCATGTTCACTTCATTAGTCTCTCTACTGTACATGTAAGTTATCTGCATTTATTTATTATGTATATCATAATTATAAATCCAAAATATATTTAATGCAGAAAAGAGATTAAGAAAATTTAAACATGCAAGCCTTCTCAAGAAGCACATTGTTTGAGAAAAATAAAAAGCACACATAACTATAATATGCTGTGTTATCTATGAATATATCCACATGTAGTAAAAATAAAAAGCAAAGTCAGGATGATTGGAAGAGAAAGAAACAGCAGGCTTCAACTACATTTGACACAATATATTAAGTAGTGGATGATATAAGTGAGTTCATTATAATATTCCTTTGTCTCAAAGAGCCAGAGACGACTTTGCTTTATTACTAAGGTTAGGACTTTAAACCTTTTAAAAATTTCTTTTTTCCTTCATTCCTGATCTTGAGGAAGATCACCAAATGAAAAGATATGACAATCTCACCATTATTTTGAAGTAAAATGATTAATTCTCTTAAGAAACAGATCTAGAGTTTGCACAGTAAGTTTTAAAAGACATTCGGAACCTCGTAA